ATATTTTGCTGAAAAATAGTTTTAACAGAAAGATTTTGGAAATTTCAAACGACAGAAGAACTGGCGGCTGAAATGTCATTGAATGCCGAGTGTTTCTTGTAAGGAAACAACGAATATTAACCATTACCATTATACGTCCTTACAAACATCACATTAATAACCCTCATTTTGCGTGATATTTTAGCTTTGTGTCTTATTAACAATGATAAAAAAAAACATAACAAGATATAAAAAAAGAAGGAAAATGAAAGAAAAGATAACAAGATATAAAAAAAAGGAAAATGAAAGAAAAGATAACAAGATATAAAAAAAGAAGGAAAATGAAAGAAAAGATAACAAGATATAAAAAAAAAGGAAAATGAAAGAAAACAAGATATGAAAAAGAAGGAAATGAAAGAAAACAAGATATGAAAAAAAGAAGGGAAATGAAATAAAAAAAGATATAAAAAATAAGAAGGAAAATGAACGAAAAACATAACAAATGCAACCACCATGGTGTAAGGCATATATTTGAGAAAGCTAAAAAGGCAGAACCATCAGGATCGAACGATATTTGTTTGTATAATTCACCGTCTAATGATATCACTTAAAAACTTAAACCAAAAACACAGATTAAATAGAAAAAAAATATTAAAATACAAGAACCGGGTTCTGTGTATTCTGGTGTAAAAGGCCAATCCGAAATGGCAAATTTGATTAGAAATTACTAGAATAGAAAGCAACGTCCATTTCATAGTTCATAGATTCTGTTAACCAAAATGGTTTGCTCAGGGGAAGCCAGTGTGGCTTTACTGTAAACATTTGGATCTGTTGGCGTCCGAATATCAATTGTTTATCTCGACCTGCTGTGGCCGTTGATTGCCTGAGTAAGTTCGTTTTCATCTGAGAATTCGAGATGTGGTCGGTTTGGATTGAAAGTCCAATCATGTTTCTATCTCGACGCACTGGTGCAACTGCGTGGGCTAAACTCTCTCTCTCTCTCTCTCAAACACACTCACTCACTCACATGCGTATACACGTACATATAAGCGTGTACCTACACACATATATACACCTATTGGAATAAACATATAGGATATCCAGATATACATACATACATACAAGGATATGATGCTTGCCACATCTTACTCGGATTTCTTCGGCATTTCTTCATTCTACATTCGCGTAATTTTTGATGGCTTCCGTCTCATTTCGGCTTCCATGGTCCATAAGATGACAAGATGAGGTGCTGAAATAACTGCACATCATTGGAATATTGTGACAAACATAGGTAACTCTCTCTGAGCAATCATGATTAATACCCAGTAAAAAAGCCTCAGGTTTTCTTAAGTTTCCCTCTCAAGTTAAATGTCACACACACACACACACACACACACACACACACACACACACACACACACACACATACACACACACACACACACACACACATATATATATATATATATATATATATATATATACGCATACATGTAAAATGCATACTCGACATCGTGCGAGATGGCAGTTGATCCGACGAGAGATTTAATCCGCTCTTTCTTAGGTCTTTATCCTGCTGGGAGATTATGAATATACGTGAGAAAATCATGGAAAATTGTAGTTTAAAAACAGTAAAATCGACCTTGCTAACTGAAACGCTTCCCTGTGGCCAAATCGGTTAAAGGCACGTCAGGCTATATGACGGTTCCGTATAAGATACTGGTTCGGTTCCTGTCGAAGGACGCATATTTTCCATGATAATTTCTCGGACATTCAGGCTGGTAAATGTTGTTAATACTGTTTATTATAAACAGAGCATTTACTTAAATATTTGTATCTATAATGAAGAATGTATAAACAAAAAATATCTTAAAATAATTGTCGGACATTGTCCATTTCATAATATATATATATATCTGTGCTTGTGTATGTGGATTTAATAAGCCGGATAATAATCTGAGGAATGAAAAGACAAAAATGATAAAAATTTTACTAATAATATTCATGAAACTTATTATATATTTATAAATCTTTTGACTAAATTGAAGCACGAAGAGACAGATTTTAAAGTCAGAATTTTCAGAAACACCTGTATTCTTTCTCAACGAGACTAGGAATAAATAAAGAAGTGGGATTCACTCTCCCGAGGATTGTTGTTGTTTTTGTTGTTGTTTTTGTTGTTGGTGGTGGTTTATTTTTTCCCTGGAAGACATTTGATTTTGGCATATTGGTTTGTCGGTTTGCGGAAGGTTTGTGGAAGGCTCTCTTTGGAAACTGTTTTCTCAGAATAAATTTAAATTCTTGTTTAATCCATTATGTAATTCTATTGTGAAAATGGATTTTAACTCCGATTTACGTTCTTCTTGTTGGCTCTCAAATGAAACCCGCATATGATGATATCAATGCTATGGAACAGTTCATTGACGTGTGCAGCAATAGGGAAATTGTTGTTGTCTTTGACGTTTTTTTAGGGTTATTGAACCGAAAACGCAATTCCGAGCAGGTTTTTCTGGCATAATTTTCTTTTTTGCATTTGTGGCAGTAAAAGTGACTATATAAGATTTAAACTATCATAAGTCAAAGCCGGTGGTTTGAATATTGTGTGAGTGCCATAGTGTGTGAAAATGCTATCGTTTTAATCATATATATATATATATATATATATATATATATATATATATATATATATAGCAAGGTTCTATTTTGTCTTTAAAGTACACTGACTTGTTGACTTTTCCCGAAAACATATCTGATGTGTTTTGGATTCGAAACGTAAACAAAGCAATTTGTAAAGAATAAATGAATTTTATTCTTTAATCCGGAATATTTTTTACTATTTACATTATTAGGACTATTGTCCTCATCTTTGTCGCCATGTTTATCACAACGTTTCGGCCTTTGTACGCTCCGGCCTTTTTCAGGTGGTTGGAATGTCGAACTCAATTTTTTTTCGCTCGCTAGGGTAGAATGTTCTAGTTCCACGAGCCATGTTTAATGGATGTCACTTATCAGTTATCTCCTGTTAATTCCCCTCTCCACCGCCTTAACCAGGTATTGAACTCACACTCTTTGTGTCCTGTCACAGGATCTAACGCCTTTATCCATTGTCACATGTGTCTTTGAGGAATATTTTTATTACTTGAAACTTTATTTTTAGTGGATACCCATTTTGAGTAGATGTTCCGTTCATTTTAAAAACTATATATTCCCTTTACACCCCTACGTAATGGAGAATATTTATAAACGAAAATGTGACCCTTCCCCCGACAGGATTCGAACCTGAGTCTTCCTTTGCTGGAGGAACCACCGTCTGATCTGGTGTGCTTTTACGACTCGGCTGTGAAGAGCATCACAATGAAACAAGATTCGGTTTAATTTTTAAGGCACATTTCACAACTCTTCGTAGTTGAGCGATACAGACATCACAGTAATCTAGTTTATTTTTTAGCCTAATAAAACAACAGTTTCCCTAAAAGTGGGATACAGGTTCGGTCTCTCCTGGAGTCAACATCTTCTTTATTTAGTTTTTGTGGAATGTACAGGCCGAAAGACAGGCCGAGGTTGTTGAACAGACGGTCATATAAATAAAAGGAGATGATTTGAGCAGCCTCATATATTGCATCGGAGAATGTAAGCTCCATATTTCAGACGGGGGCTATGGGGGCCGCACCCAAACACTGACCAATAGTAATTGGCGAAGTCAAGTTTTAAATATTATATATTGTTAACCAATGAAAATTCAAATCTCGTGTTATTATGCTGGTGACATTGCAACAATAAACGCAATTTGAAGAAATCAAATCAATTGTTATAACAAAAAAAAAAAAAAAAATAGAAAAAAAAAAGTCATCTATCTATTTTATTGTGACTAAATGTACCAGAAGTATAAAGGAGACACAAATTTCAAGAGAATGTTACATAGGTAGACATCAATAATTAAATGAGATAAATACATATTTCTTTTTAATCATTTCCCCCTAAGCAAGGTGGGAGTGCCACTAGCACGCAAGTGGTTACAGAGAGCGAAATTAAGAGTAAAGAGCAGTGTTTAAGGAAAAGATAAAGAGAAGGAAGGGGGATCAAGATCAAGGCGTCAGAAGATGTCAGTTGACATTACATTTACATTTTTAAAGATTATGAATATCAGGAAAGCAAGGAAGAGGAAGAGTGTTCCACTGTCGGGAAGTGCAAGTAACGAAGCTGTTGGAGTAGAAGTGGCGTTTGCATTTAACGGCTTCGACAGTGAAAGGGTGGGACCGAGATGCCAACCTAGTAGCACGCTTACATTTTTGCAGTTGGGGCAACAGTAAAATTATCTTGTGAGAGCAGTTGCTATGAAGATATTTGTAGAAAAGACAGAGGGAAGCCACATCACATCTGTAAGAAAGTGACTGGATTCGAGATGCCAGGTCAAGACCTATCACATTGCATATCCGTCTTTGGATTTTGTCGAGAACCTCGTGATGAACAGTAGGGGAACCAGACCATATATGGCAGAAGTATTTAATGCAAGGACGAATGGTAGATTTGAAGGATGGACTCAGACAAGAAAAGCCTTCTGGTTCGACACAGTGAACCAACTTCCTTTGCGGTAGATGAAGCTATATAATTATTATAATTTGTTTTAGTTATTAAAAAGATTCTAAAGAAATTATTCCTCTTCTTAAAAACTGCATTATTACGATGTATGTAAGACTAATCAAGGAAAATTAATGTTTTATGTTTTCATTGTCACTATGACGAGACAAAATGCAAGTTAACCTACGGGATTCGGTGGTTGTTGAATATTTAAGAAATTGTTATTTGCGAATATCCCATATTTAATATTTAACATGAATTTGTTCATGTTCTTAAATGCATTATGGAGATGTTCGTAAAACTAAAACATCGAGACTGAAATTGAATCTGCAGTTTTCTTGTTTCTTTAACATTTTACAGACTTAAAGAAATCTTAGCACGGGAATGCAAAATTTAATTCCATTTTGTCTTTTTTATACAACCCATAAATCCTAGTGTTTTGATCATCCCTTGTATGCAGTATTTACAAGTGAAATAGACATATCCACACAGAGAAAGAGAGAGAGAGAGAGAGAGAGAGAGAGAGAGAGAGAGAGGGAGAGAGAGAATGAAAAAAGTGAGAGAGAGAGAGAAATATCCACATTCACACACACAGTGTAAAAGAGAGAGAGAGAGAGAGAGAGAGAGAAACAGACAGATACACAGAGAGAAGGAACGAGAGATAGATAGAGAGAGAACGTGACAGTGAATGAGAATGATAAATATACATATCCACATACACACACACACACATATACATACAGAGTAAGAGAGAGAGAGAAAGAGGGAGTAGGAGAGAAAAATAGACACATATACAGTGAGAGTGAGAGAGATATAAACAGAGAAAGAGTGAGAAAAAGGATGATAAAGAGAGAGAAATATACACATCCACACGCGCGTACAGAGAGAGAGAGAGAGAGAGAGAGAGAGAGAGAGAGTGGGAGAGAGAGAGTGAGAGTGAAAGAGAGACTGAGAGAGAGGAATGTATACATTCACAGGCGCACACACAAATATATATATGCACTCTCTCTCTCTCTCTCACACACACACACGAAGAGAGAGAGAGAGAGAGAGAGAGAGAGAGAGAGAGAGAGAGAGAGAGAGAGAAATAAATATTTAAAGTGAAACACAGGCCTAGAAAGAAACCTTTGTCCCGCAGGGTACAAAGGCAGTATTGAAGTAGAACTCTAATCAATACACATAACACCAACTCACCAACTACAAAGCCGTTGTTGTAGGATAATTCAGTACAATAAAAGCGTTTTATTTAATAAAAATCGCCCAGGAAATGTCAGAATCACAAATCGTAGGGCAGCGGGAATATAAATTATGTATTTCGTATCATAATAATGAATGCGTTATAAATTTCTCTTGTCTTCTCTAATCTCCATTTATTTTTGAGTAACCATTTTGTGATTTTGTTATGTCGTTTGGTTGACTAACACTTATAGCTCGAAAAATAACTTCACACCAAAAAAAAAGTCAAAAGAAAAATGAAAATCCGATGCAGTGTTTCGAGCCTAAGTGGAGGAGCCGGACGCAGCCATAAAGATTTTAAATATAGAATCGTCTGTTTAGAAGTAAAAATGAACGCTTCCGTTCCGAGGCAGAACAAAGATGTGATAGAAAGCGAAGGATAAGAAAATTTATATTTATTTCCAAAAATAAATTAGGCTTACGGTCATGCCACGTTGAACCCCCGGTTCTCGTACGATGACCGAAGTTAAACAACGCCGAGCCTGGTCAGTATATTGACGGGTGACCATTTGGGATTACTAGGTACTGTAAGCTTGTATATCTGGGTGCTATAATGGATTGACATTGTTAATTGTAAAGACGAGTTTTAATTCCAGTTGAGTTCGTTATATTCAGTTTCGCGCAAATACCGCTGGGAAGGTATGAACCCACCTCTTCTTCCCCAGCTATGGGTTAATTAGTAAAACTTGTATCATTAAATCGTTATTATTTTAAACAAGTCTTACGTTTCATAAATATTTTCTGGCAAAAGGTTGATAAAACAAAACTAGTTTTTTTTTCTTTTTTAATGATTTCACGCCAAGCAAGACGGGAATGCCACTAGTACGCAGGAGGTTACAGATGAGAGAAAAAGACCGGGTGAGGAATGTAAGTCGCCATCTTCTATCTTCTTGAATCTCGTTCATCTTTTATAAAGATGAACGATATTCAAGAAGATAGAAGATGGCGATTTACGTTGTATCTAAATTTTTGAAGATTGTAGTTTTCAGGGAAGCAAGAAACGGAAGGGAGTTCCGCAGGCGGGAACTGCCAGAAAAGAAACAGTTGAAGTAGAAGTGGCGGTTACATATAAGTATTTCAATGGTAAAATGGTGGGATAGATGCCAATCTAATAGCGCGCTTAAATTTACGTAGTCGAGGGAACCAGGGAAAAAAGCTCGTCAGAGCAGTTTCCATGAAAGTATTTGTAGAAAAGGTAGAGGAAAGCCACGTCAAGTCGGTGAGAAAGTGACTGAAGATTAGATGCCAAGTCACGATTGATTATATTACAGATCCTTCTTTGGATTTTGTCAAGAACCTCAGGGTGAATAGCAGGAGCACCAGACCAGATATGGCAACAGTATTCAATGCATGGACGAATGGGAGATTTGTAAATGTGCAAGATAGATTCTGACTAGAAAAACCTTCTGGTACGCCACAGTGACCCAAATTTCCTTGCATTAGATGCAGCTATTAATACGATGTAGTCGTTCCACTTCAAGTCAGGCCAATGTGAGGTCAACGTGAGGCCAAGAAGGCGTAAAGTGTTACTCTCCAGCAGTTTATAATTAGCCATGTTGATGGCGGGCAGAAAAAGTTTCTCTATGCTGCTTGAATGAGAGCTGTTTCGTTTTGGAGTTGGGACTAGGAAAAAACAAAACAAAACAAGAAAGATGAAGATGCTAGCTAGGATGATTTATCGGATATGAAATCATTTACTATAAGTACCCATGAAAATGTCACGGTTTTTCTATTTGAATTGTCTGATAATTCTTCATTCTTAAGTTAACAGAATATATCCTTAGAAATTTACCTATCGCATCGTTAAATATTTGAGCTTACAAGATTTAGCAAAATATTGAAATAACAACCTAAATATGAATTCTTTTCGTTATTTTAAGAAGTAAGGGGCTATAAATGAAAATATTTAAAATGTTCAACTTTTCCCATTTAACGAAAACAGGTTAATCACTCTTTCTTTTTTTTGTCACTGAAACCAAGTAGCGTCTCTGATATGTCTTGTGTCTTTCAATGCAATCAAAACGGAATAGTCCATAATTATGGAATTGGCAGGATGTAACGGTCGTGAAAATTACAGGAGGAATAAGCAGAATTATAAGATTGTATTTTGGAATACCCATACAAATTTGCTTGTCTTTATTATTGCTTAACTTTCAAATGTAAAGAAGGTGTTGACTCTTGTAATGACAATAGTTCAGATAACAGTGACCTTTGTTCATCTATTGAGTCTAGTGTTTGAAATGAGTTTTTTTTTATCATTAATTTAAGTCTTATGAAATAGAAATTAGCCACTTCCTGATTAAAGATTTGCCTTATACTAATTTGGTCGTTTTTATTATTACTTAACTTTCAATAGAAATTAGTCATTTAAATTTTAAAAGGAATATTGACGCTCATTTTATTCGGCATTTCATTACTTTGACTTCCTCACTGTTTTTGTTATTTTGATATTTTCTAAACTAAACGGTGCGCAACCTAAGGTTAGAATTTAGGAAATAGGGAGGAGTTATCAAATGTTTTCGTTTATTATATGTTAATTATATGTTAATATATGTTAATTGTAATATAAAAGAGATATTTATATTTTGATAATGACCAGGGAATGATTGAATTGCGGTACAACTATATCTGTTGGATCCTACTTTTTTTTTTCATCAAATAACGCATTCATAAGAAATTTCGGATAAAAGAAAAGAAAAACGAAATTAATAAAATTCACTCCGTGTGTCATATGTAATTAAAAAAGAAACTTGTTTAAAATATACCTACCTACCAAAATACAAACATACGAGATGTATGGATGTCTTTACTCGTAGATGCAGACATGGATGAATGGGAGAGAGTGCTTACGGAGGTGCTATGTTTAACCTGTGTTATGTTCCGACAATCTTCGTCGGAACTGTTATATTCCGTGCTAAGGGAATAAATAAATAACACCAGGTGGATACTAGAAGAAAGGTTTACTGTAAACAACAAGTACAATATGAAATACGGTAGAGTTATACACACAGGTCAATCTAGTTAATGAGTGCCACTAATTGGAAAGTCCGACCTGCTTGCGTCTTCTCTCTACTCACTCACTCTCCACGTTCTCTCGTAGACAGTTGACTTTATAGGTACTTACTACATATAGTGTAATCATTCATGGAGGTGTCGGGTTATTCCATTACATCAACCTGATAGTTCACAGACTTTTATTATTGACATGATTTCATTCTTTACCTGGTGCTCCATTCGTATGACCTTGTGTCTTACTAAACTAAAAAAAGTGAATTTGAAGGCTTCTGTTAACGAGCAACTTTCTTAAATCGTTGTTACAAATTTTGAAAGGTTATGCTTTAATTCTAATTAGGCTACTTGGCCAAATTTTAGAAAACTTATTTTTGTTATTTGTTTTTTTAAAAAACATAAGGTAAATATGGAAAACATATTTTTTTTTATTCCCAGAAGAAATCAGGGATCCAAACAAAATTTTATATGCATGCAGGGCTCTTAACGACCAATTCCTCAAGAGGTACTTGTAGGTTGTAGAAATAGGGGAAAATATTTTTTTTAAATGTGTACTTCAGACGCAATTCTTTTTAGCAATGTCTTTGTTTGCAAATTCCGGAAGTTACAGCTACATCAGCTAGTAGATATAATCAGTCAGTTATGTGCCATGCGGGATTAACGCTTAGTAGATCATGTATCTTTCGATACACGACTGACGATGCAGATTTTTTCCCTGCATAGATTGTCATTTCTTTCTGCGGTAGAGCAGTTGCCATCCAAGGTTATAGAACCCGGTCTGTCCTGCTATTTAACCATAGCTGGAGGGAGAAGAAGATGATTTATACACTTCCCGCGCACGTAATGGATCTGACTGGAATTCGAACTCGGCTCTCTGATTTCTCAATCCGATCCACTATCCATTAGGCTATCAGAATTACGAAATATTACAGTTTCTTGGCCATGCTGCTTCAGAAAGAGATCTTTGGTCAGGAGGTTGAGGAATGTTTGAAGTAAGGTGTCAGAAGATAATTTCTTGCCCTGCTTAGTCTGGCTCAAGGCTATATTAAATGGTTACGTGAAAATTTTGTTAAGTATCATATCGAGGTAGGTGATCAATAGTCGCTTACGAAGCGTAGTTTAAAATAATAAAATACCTGGTACCTATCGAAGATTAAGGATATTTCACTAATGAAGTTGTCTTTGAGGCGAACTTGCTGTCTACAATGTACCCATGTGAGCATGCATTGATAGATTTTAGCATTAACGAAGCTGAAGAGATGCCGAATTCTTTTGAAAAGGGTCCTTTGATGGAATCGATAATCGTCAATGCCGATAGAAAGACATGGCGACGTAGAGCATACCAGGCAAAATCTCTTTTCCAAGCAAAGGCAGAAGAGAATAAAAAGTGCGATAAAACGACAGCTCCTTTCGATTGTCAAGTTTTTTTTTCTGCAGTCGATGTGTAAGAGGCTGCCCGCCTCGCGTGATTCTCGCTAACTACCGGGAGACCTGCAGCTATGTATTAAACACTCCTAAATCATTGTTTGCAAATTCAGTGTTTGTGACATTTGTTCACAATTGGGCGCGTTTGTTTTAGAGCTCACTGGTTTGATTCTCAGTTTTTAATTGCTCACATAAAATTTAATTTTGTTTCACGATTAATAATTCAGAACAATAGAATGCAAAGGTGATGATGCACGTCAAATGGCGAAGAAAAGAAAACAGCCTGGAATGAAGAAATATGTTTTTTTTTTGTATTTATGATCCGTTAGGCTAAAAAAGGAAGACAAAAGAACGACTCCGAAAGAAATGTCGACATTTTGAGAGCTGACTTGTACGATTTGATTCCTTTTCTTTATTGCATCCTCTATATATATATATATATATATATATATATATATATATATATATATATATATATATATATATATATATATATATATATATATATATTAGGTAGTGAAATGTTTAGTAATACATACGGATAATCCCAAGGAGGATGTAATCCAGAGAGTTCAATAGAAAAACAGAGCGAATATTATTTAGTTAAATTAAAAAAAAGACAACCTTAAGGATCCACTGAATATATTTTATTTTCATTAGAATGGTATTTTTCTGTTTCCTCAGATCAGATGGGACTTGGAAATGTGATCTGAGGAACAAGAATAAAATCCATTTCCTGGGGAAATGAAATATTATCAAAGGAACTTTTAATGTTGTCTTTTTTTAATTTTCCTAAATTATATATATATATATATATATATATATATATATATATATATATATATATATATATACTTTTATTTTAGGATATTACATAAAAACATGTCAAAATTGCTACATATTTGCAGTCCTGTTTCGATGCGTATCAATGCATCTCATCAGACAATTGTAAATTGAAACACGACTGCAATTGTGTAGCGATTTTACATGTTTTTTCAATGTAATATCCTAAAATAAAGAATATTGATCGACTTTGTATTGAGCCCTAATTTTAAATTAAATGTTACGAACGTTGAATTGTACTTTATCTCATCTTATATATATATATATATATATATATATATATATATATATATAAAAGTGAACATAGAACTCAACGTTTAGAGGCGATAGTCTGTTTCATGCTAGATGCAATCGTTAGGCCACGCGTGCTCGACGATTGCATCTAGAACACTCGTGGCCTGACGATTGCGTCTAGCGAAACAGTCTGTCGCCTCTAAGTGTTGACTTTATGTTCACTTTTATATTTACACACGCTCTATCTCTGATATTGAGCACTTTATCCCATAAATATAGCACATCTTAAGACTATATATATATATATATATATATATATATTTCAATTATTAAAACACGTAAATTTCAGAAATACGTTATTCCCAAAAACATTTCGCTTGAAGATGGAAAAGAGCTTACTTTAACTCAATTTAATTCAAATAATTATATTTAAGTTTTCGGCTCTTGTTTTGAAACATGAGACCTCTTATGTCGCGAGTTGGAATCATATTTTTAAATAAATAATTATATATATATATATATATATATATATATATATATATATATGATGGACAAATCAGATTATACAAGAAAGCTGGAAGACCTTATTAGCAATGGTAGCTACTGCAAACTAAAAAAGAATCCCACAATGAAAGCAAACTGTCACAGAGCAACAAAGATGAGGACAATAGTGCGAATAATGTAATTAGTGTCTAGAAGGAGAACTCTCTATTCAAATCCTGATGAGTTTGCGTCAGTTCTCTGTGTTTGGAGTGAGGTAGGTTCTCCACAAGGCGTCACCAATACAGCGATTTTCCAAGCGTAGCTTAGATGTGGTACAAGGCCGAAAGTAGGGTGCTCCCAGTGAGAATCGAACTCACTACTCGTAATTGTTCTAACGAGAGAAGCTTGCTAACCATTACACCACTTCGAGGTGCCCTAGCCGTCACCAATATAATAAAATCATTTGTGCAGTTTTGCTGTTTCATTCTAAGGTTGAGGTTTCTTTTGTTTTTCGGCATATCCCCCTCAGTGGGTTATGCCGATAAGATTTTTAGGATAGCTTCGTATAAATAGATCATGCATTCTTAAGAAATAAGTTTGTAGATCGGGTTTCATTGACATATTTTTGTAAAGAGTGTTTTTTGTCGAGAGTCAAATGTATCGCTGGTAATTTTTTCTTTTTCAAATATATCAGGTCATCCCATAAGTTCTGTCCGAATTTTAACTTTTTGTTAAAATGAACGAAATTTAAAGAGTATTTTATAATGTCTAATGGAGCTGAACATTATTTTTATGTTTAGATGCATTTAAACTGATCAAATTTTATTTCAGAGAACAATAAAATAAAATTTTGTTTGATTAAAACCCTGCTAACATGGCAGGAATCATTTGATGCACGTCAAATGGCGATGAAAAGAAAACAGCCTGGAATGAAGAAATATCTGTTTTTTTTTTGTATTTATGATCCGTTAGGCTAAAAAAAAGGAAGACAAAAGAACAACTCCGAAAGAAATGTCGACATTTTGAGAGCTGACTTGTACGATTTGATTCCTTTTCTTTTCTTACCCAAGAATCATTTGAGGCACATAATGCTTTCTGAGTTCAAGAAAGGAAACTCAGCAGCCGAAGCGGCTAGAAACATTCACTCAGTTTATGGAGAGGAATGTGTGAATGAAAGAACTTGCAGAGGTGGAGATTTCACCCTTGAAGATGAAGATCGAACCGGACGTCCAGTTGAGTTTGATGAAAAGCTTGAAGCAGGCATTGAAGAAAATCCTGCTTTATCAGTTGAGGAATTGGCAGTGGTTCTCAGTTCAAACCATACAACTGTTCATCGTCATCTTCAACAACTTGGAAAAGTTTATAAACTTGGAAAATGGGTGCCTCATGAATTGTCTAAAAACAACCTCAAATCCCGAGTTGACATCTGCTCTTCTCTCCATTCTCGCCAAATTCACCTTTTTTGGATAGACTTGTGACTGGCGACGAAAAATGGATCTTATCGAAATGTTAAGCGTCGTAGACAGTGGCTTGGTAAAGGGGAAGGACCCCAGCCACAGCCGAGAAGGGAACTTCATGGGCAAAATGTTCTTCTTTCAATCTGGTGGGATCGCCAAGGAATAATCCACTTTGAATTCTTACCACCTAATGTAACAATTAATGCTCAAATATACTGTCAGCAATTAGAGCGTTTGAACCAAGATTTGAGGAAAAAAAAAACCCTGCTCTAATGAATCGAAAAGGGGTGATGTTTCATCAGGACAATGCGCGAATCCACACAGCAAGAATCACGTCACAAAAGATCGAAGAACTTGGTTGGGAGAAAATTCCTGATCTACCTTATTCTCCCGATCTTGCTCCTTCAGACTACCATTTGTTTCGTAGCTTACATAATCATTTGGAAGAAACAGCTTTTGTAACACAGGAAGAGGTTAAAACTGACATTTGTGAGTTCTTCGAATCAAAGCCAAAAGAATTTTACAGTAATGGAATTAGTAAGCTTGTTAATAGATGGAAGGAAGTCATAGATAATCAGGGAAAATACATTGTTGATTGAATCTGTAATTAAATGTAACATTTGGTCACTTGTTTTCTTTATTCAAAATTCGGACAGAACGTATGGGATGACCTGATATATTGCTGGTAATATTTTTAAAATTTTTGGGGGAATTTTTACTATAAAAATCTATGCTTTCATTGTGTTTTGATCCCACTTTGGGAGTTAACTATTTGCTCGCAGCTGGGACCCTAACAGGTGCTACTACTCGGGATCAGGGTGGACCTGGGAACAACAACAATCATGAGGTGGTTGCACGATCTTCAAAACCTCCCGATCAGAGGCCTTGCTGCCGGGTGTAGTTTATCGTCTTACCCAGGACGATATTCCATTCTAAGAGGAGCTGCTCGACCCTCATAGACCGAAAACGATGAAGTTTTTAGATAATAGATCTAGAGAACTATTTCTGCAACAATCAATATGTGAACAATATTTTGAAATATTGATACAGAATATTGATAATTCCACATCCATATATATATGAAAAAAAAACCTCACGCGAGCAGACCCCAAATATTTATTTCCATCTTGGTATTTCTTTATTTTATGATACTTAACGGATTAAGTTAATTACTAATAGAAGAGCTACGCTTTACACATTTTTAGCTTCTAATTTCATTCAATTTTCCCGTTTAATTTATTTTCGGAGATTTGTGTTGTTTGTCAAAAAAAAAAAAAATGGTTACGGTTCGTTTAAAATATCTGCTGTTTTTGGTCTTGTTAAGTTCGAAACGCGGGGTTGAGGAAGCCACTATGGAAACCGTCATCGTTCAGTTATCAAACCCGAAAGGAATCTATATCATTTATTATAAAAGAAACAACTTCCTATAACTTTTAAGCATTTACTTTATTTTCTAAACTTATTTATTTTGCTTACTTTTGATTAGCAGCGGACTGAGTTAAACATCAAAAGTCACTGTGATCCATGTAAGAGTAGAGATAAGAAATATTGCAATGCCTACTGTCGTGTGTATCTCTTACTGAAAAGGTTAAAGCTTTCCATTTTTTTTATCGTATTATCGTAGATTCTTTCTTTTATCTCTTTGTTAATTTTCTTTTTTGTACACCTTTTCTCTTCTTGATATTCGTTTACTCTATTCTTTCTTTCTTTCTTTTTTCTTTTTCCCTATATTCGTCTGTCTCTTCGTTCTTCCATCTCCGTCTTTCTCTCCTTCATTTTTTCTCATTCTTTATTCTCTGCTTTTGTTCTTATATTCTTCATTTTTATCCATCTTCTCGTTTCTCTCTTTTTCTCTTTCTTTACTTTCTCTATTTTTCGTTTTTTGTATCCTCTTTTTTATATTTTTCTACCTTCTTGGTTTTACTCTTTCCTTTGACTTCTTTCTTTTTCGTTTTTTTTTTCTTTTTCGTTCAATTCTTTTTCTTCGTCCCTTTTTCTTACCTTTTCATTCATCGCTTGTTCAATTTCTCTTTCTCCATTTCTTTTAATTTCTGAATTTTGTTTTGGCTTTTCCTTTTTTTGCTCTTTCTTTATTCACTATATTCTTTCTTTTATGACTTCTTTCTTTCTGTCTTCTTGCTTTCTCTATTTTCCTTTTAGTCTCTCTTCTTTTTTTCACTTTTGCTTCTGCTTTCTTTGATAAAGACGAATGTTAAAGTATATTTCCAACCAGACTTAATGGTCAGCAGAAACAAATCCAATTCAGCTATTTCTTTACGGTAAACAATACTTCTATATTCAACCTCGAGTCATGGATTGTGTTTCGTTTCTTTTATGTCCAGTTTCGCAATTCTCCCGCGTCTAGCCACTTGTCTCGTATAAATCTTGTAACCTTTGATTCCGATGTTGCCTCTGTTGGGTGACAATTGGTTTGTTGAGGCAAATACTGAAAACAGCTGATCTCTGGGGGATTACTAATCCTTAGCCTAGGTACCTCCATGAGATCGCCAAAAAATGAAATGGAAACAGATTTGGAGTGATTAATAAAAGAATTTTAAATTCTCGTTCCTGCCTCTGTGTTATTTGCTGTATTGAGTATTCCGGTGAAATCACGTTCTCCCCGAGACTTGTGTGAATTGCGATAATGTCCTTGGAGGGGTGGCAGAGTGGTTTTATTTTCTTTCTCCACGATTTTCACTGCAGAGTAATCTTTTTGGGGGGAAAGTCTAGAATAACAACTCGTAATTTAACCCGTACCTGCAGAGGGTAGAGATATAGATATATATCTCCTCGGTGATATTAATGCAAAACGGAAAACAACATACTTGACTGGAATTTGAACTCGGATTGCCGATACAATTTCTGCACTGACAACCCTTACGCTACCTGCACATCCTAACGTTTGTTTCTGAAATTCAATGTTAGTTTTACTTCACTTCTCATTGCTTTTTATGTTTTACTACAACCGGTTTCATAATCTTGTTAAACTATTTAACTTTTTCGACAAGATTAGAAATCGACTTCTAAAGACCACAGTAGACATCGTATCTCTAATGGCATTTCTAAACAATGTTTCGGCTAAAACAGTATTTTGAAAAAGAAAATTTGAAATATTTGATCCTACCCAACCGACGAAGAAAAAGATACATACCAGAAATAAAAAGTGGAATAATAATAATAATAATAATAATAATAATAATAAAAATATATTTATTCTCAGTTGATGAAGTCTGAAAACCATTATCATTAATCGCTATCTCCGCCTACGGCAGATTGGGAATTAATGAATTATTGCCCGCCATAAATTACGCGTGTTGATCAATCTTATTTAATGTCTACCATTTGTTAGTTGGTTATCTCTCTACTTCTGATTGGGTTTTCCTTTAATTCTATTGCCAGGAACTATATTCTAAATACACTTTAGACAACTCCGTAATAGATCTTTTCATGCATTCAGATTTGGTACGGATGGTGCCAAAGAATGAATGGAAATTGGTTCCATTTCTAAGTCTGATTATTTTCACATTGTCTCTTAGTTTTTCACTGGTGATGCGCATGATATTGCGTTCTGGAATATTTCAATTTGAGCTGAATTTTTTTTTATTCCATGTCACACAATCTATACGTATATATATATATGTACATGTTATATATTGGAGTAGACTGGATTTGTTGTTGTTTTCAGGATAGCCTTTTTGTTTTCCAAAATCATAAGTCTCTGGTGAAATAATATCTTTACTTTTGTAGAGCGTTTCTTATTGGACAAAAATCAACAGAGATAAAAACATTAAATCAAATATATTTGACTTTTGTCTTGATTGTAAGTTTGATCGTTTAGTTAAAGTCGAATAGGCAGCTGATCTCAAAATGACCTACAATCTGTTGTTAATTGGTGCAATGAATGGCTTGATAATTTTAACGTCTCTAAAACGAAACTGCTCCCTATTAAGCACCTGAGAGACCACTTTCTGCCATCAGTGAGAAAAAGTATGTAGATAAATAAAAGCAGATGTAATCAATTTGAGATTAAATATAATAAATGATATTTTGGTCGGCTTAATATTTGGTTTTCTTTAGTCGGATATTTCTGTGTTTTAGATTGACAGAGTAACATATGAAATAAAGAAGATGGAACTGGTATAAAATGATAGTGGGGAAACACAAGAGAGCATAACAACATAAAAGCAAAGAGATGATTCGGTATCTGTTTATATTTCTGAGATGAGGTATTATGTACACTATTTACATTATTCGGACTATTGTTCTCATCTCTGTTGCCATATTTATCACCCTTCAGTATCTGTCTATATTTCTGAGATGAAGTATTATGTATACTATTTACATTATTCGGACAATTGTCCTCATCTTTGTTGCCATATATATATATCACAATGTTTCGGCCGTTGTACGCTCCGGGCTTCTTCAGGTGGTTGGAATGTCGAACTGAACCCTTTATTTCGCTTGCTGGGGTAGACTGTTCTAGTTCCACATGCCATGACTAATGGATATCAGTTATCAGATATCTCCTGTTAATTCACCTCTCCAAGTTCTCCACTGCCTAAACCAGGTATTGAACTCATACTATCACTGGATCTAACCAACGCCTGTATCCACTGTGCCTGGTTAAGACAGAGGAGAACTTGGAGAGGTGAATTAACAGGAGATAATTGTAAATAGTGTACGTAATACCTCATCTCAGAAATATAGACAGATACTGAAACTCCGAAACGTTGTAATAAATATGGCGACAAAGATGAGGACAATAGTCCGAATAATGTAAATAATGTACATAATACTTCATCTCAGTTATATAGACAGATAATGAAGGCCGAAACGTTGTAATAAATATGATGACAAAGATGAGGACAATAGTCCGAATAATGTAAATAGTGTACATAATACCTCATCTCAGAAATATAGACAGATACTGAAGGGCCGAAACGTTGTAATAAATATGGCGACAGAGATGAGGACAATAGTTCGAATAATGTAAAGAGAAGATTGAAAATAAATGGGAACTCCTTATTTGTATTTGCTATCTTTATCATATTTATAGTTAAAGTCGAATTGGCAGCTGATCTCAAAATGACCTATGTTCTGTTGTTAATTGGGGCAAGGAATGACTTGTTAATTTTAACGTCTCTTTATCATTTTCTTTGAGCCGCGTTTTTCGTCGATTTGTCCTTCGAGCATCGATTTTAGAAGTTTAGAACATTGAATTGATTTTAATGAGATTCGAACTTGCATCCTTTAGAGCGAGCGATCCTTATCTAGCGGGAGGTAATGGCAAAGATATTGAGAAAGCGATTTGTAGCAAGAGGATGACAGCGTAAGAGAGAGAGAGAGAGAGAGAGAGAGAGAGAGAGAGAGAGAGAGAGAGAGATAGAGAATGATAACGGGGCAGAAATAGAGAGATAAAGTGAGACAGAGAATGACAAGGGAACTGAAACAGAGAGAAAGTGAGAGAGAAAAATGGAGAAAAAGAGAGAAAGAAAGAGATAAAGAGAGAGATAGATACAGAGAAAGAGAAAGAGGGAGATAGAAAGAGTGAGGGATAAAGAAAGAGATAGAAAGAGAGAAAGAAAGAGAAATAGATAAAGTGAGAGAAAGAGAGCATTAGAGAGAGAGAAAGTGAGAGAAAATCAGAGAGAAATATAAAGAAAGAAAGAGAGAGAAAGAGAGAAAAAGAAAGAGAGAGAAAGAGAAAGATAGATAGTGAGATAGAAAGAGAAAGGGAGAGACAAAAACACACAGTGAGATAGATAGATAGAGAGAGAGAGAGGGAGGAGAGAGAGGGGGGGAGGGGGAGGAGAGAGAGAGGCGCAAATACACAAAGGCAAGAGGTGATAAACACTAATTAGCTTAATTACTATTTCACACGCTATTATTCCGTTTCTTTCACAAAAGAAAACAACCAATATCACTCGACTAAATAGCAATGATGGACGACGGCCTTAGACCCGTATTTGTTATTCAGTTATAAAAGAAAACAAGAGAGACGCTACTGCAGTAGCTGTAGTAATGGTAGCAATAGTAAGAGTAGCAGTAGTAATGAATATTTTTCTACGAAAATCTTTGGAAATGGAACCATCGATGTCATAATTTGTGTTCTGCAAAGTCAGGTTACATTTTGGCATTACACGCATATTGGAAATATAATCCCCACTTTCGAGAAATTTTGTCCGTTTTTTTAGAACTTGCAGACAATGATTCAGTTCACAAATAAATAATGGCCACAAATAACAGAACAGACACCTCGAAAAAATATTCCTAAAATAATATTTATTTTAACTGAATTTTTACCGTATTTTTATAAGTAGCATTAGTAATTTTCGTCGTTGTGACAATCATGTTTCAGTAGTCATTTATTATTAAAATTTAACTGGGAAAATTAAGGAAGAGAGATTCTACTGATGCAATTGTTGGAAGTTGTCTATTACTACATTAATGATTAATTTGTAGTCATTGGAATTTCAACCAAGTAGCAACTGGAGAAAATTGCTGTAAATTCCAACGATTATCATGCCTTCGCAAAGCTCTCGAATTCTGCTCGGCACTCTTTCGTAAAAATGTCGCTTAGATGATTTCAATTTTTTCTTAGATGTCATTTTGTGTCTTCAGGTTCATTCCCAGCATTCCACCCGTTATTCATATACGCGTCAACTTTATTTTTTACCATTCTAAGGCAAAGTTAGATATTAACTATATCTTTACTCAGTTTCGATATCATTCTAAGATCTGTTGTACAGCGAGCTTCACTATCTGACAGAACGTCTCTTATATGATAAATGGATGTTTTTAGTTTGAATTGGGTTATTCGCTTGAGTTTCAAAATCTGAAATAATCTTATGTTTTCTCTTCTCAAGTATATATTATTCATACGTTTGCATTTTCACCCCAGGTAATGTCGTGATTGCTCCTAGGAATCAAGTGGCAATCAGTTTCTGAACTCTTACTTAAGATTCTTAGAGATCCCTTTTTACGAAGACATCATTTTTTTCAATCTCTGTCTTTAGCGCTGTTCCAACTGCAACGATCGTTATCGGTACGATAATAAGCTTCTGGTTCTTGATTCCTAGCTTCTCTTAGGGTGAAATTTAAATAATTTTTCCATGTTTTTCTGTTTTTTTTTTTTGTCATTACACCCTCTAAGATTCGCTGATACAGCCATGTAAACAATTCGGCCTGTCGTTGAAAGCGCTGCACTGGAATAATCAAAAGTGCTTTCCGGAAACCAAAGAAGAAAAGGTATTAAGACATATGTGAATAATGACGAGATCAAGTGGGAAAATTATTAACGACGCGTTTCACAAGTGCATCTGCTACTTTCAGCTTCCTTGGGTTAGAATGAAAGAAAAGACAAAAGTGTGTGTGAGAGAAAATGACCTGGGAACTTAATTTATATATATATATATATATATATATATATATATATATATATATATATATATAAGTAACGAATATCTTGGTAATTCATATGGATAATCCCAATGAAATCATGAGAGCTGAATGCTAATTCAGAGCGAATAATTTAATGGAGCCTTAAAGTGGCCTGTTTTTCTTTAAATTAAATTATATATATATACTCGACTCTCCCGTCGAAATTCAACGTATGAGGGTAAGCAGATCAGTTCCTAGGAAACCGACAGCCCGACAACAGCACATGAGATTTGATTATGGTGGTAAAGTTTTCGTGCAGGACCAGCCACACTTTTTGAAGGGCAGAATAAAGAGACCTGGTGCACTACGTGCCACAGGTTCCCCAAACGACCCTCCGCAGGTTTTGAATTCAGAGTTGTCATTCTCCTAGACCAGTTGCCATCCAAGGCTATAGAACCCAGTCTGTCCTGCTATTTACCCATAGCTGGAGGGAGAAGAAGAGAATTCCTAAGGGTTTTAGCACGTAAGTGAATGTAAAGGATTCGACTCTAATTTCTCAACCACCGTCCCTATATATATATATATATATATATATATATATATATATATATATATATATAGGCACGGTGGAGTAATGGATAGCGGCTTGGGTTATATATATATATATATATATATATATAGCTACTGCTATTCGAGGATAGACAATCCCAATCCAAATCGCTCGCTCAGGCATATTTGTGCTTATTCAACACCAACAGAGCCAGCCTGCGTTTTATTCTACAACTATTCTGAGCAGACATTATTTACAGTTTCTTGGAGCGAAAGTGTTATCTAGCGTGATCAACATTCTGAACAAGGCTAGCACACGCAAACCCTCGGTCATGCTGACATCTGACTTCGTGCTAGAACAGCTATCGACGGCTCCCAAGGGTTTCGTCTACCCAATTTCATTCGCAAGGCTAGGCTTAATCCGTGGTATAGTTTCTAGGCACATTCCAAAGGCGCCGCAAGCTAGGATTGCCCCTTCCAGATCGATAATATCAGGAAGTCTACGTCCTGCCAAATCAACCATGGTGAGATTCGAACCCAGGTCTCATATATATATATATATATATATATATATATATATATATATATATATATATATGTGTAATTAATAATAATGGACAATATATATATACAATATATATGTAATAATAATAATAATAATAGTAATAATAATAATAATAATGGACCCTCCCGTCTGTTTCGAAGTATGAGGATCTGACAGCTTAGTTGATTCAGTTATCAAATTTTGTGCGATAATCTTAAGTGCCATTTAAGACCAGCTAGTGATTTACAAAGGAGGCCACATATGGAGCAAGTGTAAGGATTGTGAGATGAGATCACTGTTAGATTGGCTGACCTTTTAGATCTTTCTTTCCCTTCTTGAAGATGATTCACACAAGCAGATTGAAAACTGCTGAGTCCACTAAAACTTGTTGATCTCCATTCTACCTTCTGCAAGGCTAAGCGCTCCAAGGGTTATATATATATATATATATATATATATATATATATATATATATATATATATATATATATATATAATTGTTTATTTAGGCAGAAATCCCTATTTTATACAGGTTTCATTAAAGACGACTAAAAAGGTACTGAAATTATTTTTTTTGTTTAATTTTTTAAAATGTGCACACCGGATATGAGGCAGATATAAAATAACCGGTCAAGAGGGAAGAGGGAGAGGCACATTTGTATCCTCGAGAACTTGCAGAATCCACGTTCGCAGAAAGCCCCAAATTCACACACCCATTCAATGAAATCCGGATTTGAATAAATAATGTGAAATTTAGTCTGTTGTTCTCATTTGTAACATTACTGTAGTCATAGTAATGGCGAGATTAGCCGTTTCCTTATAAGGAAACATTCGATATTCATTGACCGAATAGTTTCTTTAGCTGTTTCTTAATAATAATGACTCAGTGTGAGTATGATTAATAATAGTAGTTTGTTGTTAATAATGATGAAATAAACAAGAAGCAGTTTAAGAAGAGATGATTGAATATTTGTAAGTACGAAACATAAGCATCATAGTCCTCATCTAACAATGAAGTATCCTCGGTAGATACAAACAATCATTCGATGATACGTCGGTCGGCTGAAAAGTTCATAAGCTAACCAATATATTCTAATGAGGTTTATTTTTCAACATAGTGTTCACACATTTCTTCCTTCAGTGTTACAGTGGACGAATCCCATTGATGAAGAAGTATTTATCCTGTTGGTTAAAAAAGTTATCAACAGAAGCTGCAATACTGTTTCCTAGCCAACTGTTTTTTTTTCTTATGTTGGGGAACACATTTCAATGAGGAGAATAGGACGGGATCAACCAGTTCAAAGCCGCTCTCACTCTCACTCACTCATTGAAACCAAAGCCAATACTGGAGTATTGTCCTGATGAAACAAAACTCAGTCACTCAGTCGTCAGTTTTCCTAAGCGTTTGGTCTTGATGACCTTTCATAACTGCCTCAGTGAGGTGGCATAGTATTTTCCCCTAATGGTGTTTCCCCTTTTGAAGATATTCAGTAAACACAATGCATCCCAAAATTTGAGGCCATCACTATCGCTGCAGATGAAACGACCTTGGTCTTCTTTTGAGCAGGTGAAGACAGGAGTTTCCACTGCATGGATTTTGTTTTTGTCTCAAAATGATGAAAACACTCATTTTGGTTTAAGAAACGTTCAATAAAACCAGCTGGATCTGTCAGATTTTCCCGTGGTCCGCTTTCGATAACGTGCCAGGAGACGTGGCATCGACCGAGCAGAAACTTTCCTCAGGCCAAGTCCATTCTCATCACTCTCACAAGATATGCTAATAGCATTCGCTATCTGATTTATAGTCAGTCGCCTGTCATCCATTACCATATGGCAAACATGATCAATGTTTTCTTCGCTGGTTTAAGTTACAGGAAGGCTTGACGTTGGCTCATCTTCAAGACTCTCACTTCACATCCTAAATTCAACAGCCCACTTCTGCAATCTTTATAAATTTGGAGCGTCATCTACTAATCTAGCAACTATGTCGGTATGAATGTCCATGGGTCGAAACTGTTTTTCTGCAGGGATTGATAACACCATGATGCCAAATTTTGACCATTTTCAAGAGAAGTCACTAGTAATTCCTTTCAGTTTTCTTTGAACAGTCAGTTGTCACTATACTTGGAAGGAAACAATGCAATTTTTAATAAGAAGAGTCGAAATGAATGCATGGAAGATTTTACAGCTCTGGCATCACTCGTTCATAGTCAGTCTATGAACTTTTCAGCCCACCCGAGTATGATAACGTTTTAACCGAAATAATCTAGCTTGTTCAGTTGGAAATAAAACAACTAAACAAATGAAAATAGAAAGTCTTGTATCAAATTCCTCTCAAACTATCCTCCTGATATTGTCGTCGTCCTGTCGTCGTATTTTGTTTTGAGTCAATTCTATTTTCATTTGATAATGTTTTTCCATTGAAATCTTTTTGTCTGTGTGAATCAATAAGTGAAATAAATCCTCCAACAAACGAATCTAATTACAGAAAAAGACGCACATTTGACAATGCGAGAAAAAAGCTTTGCCTAAAAAAACGACGAATGAAATATGTAACGAAGAAAATATATGTAACGAACAGAAACGATATTTCTTTGTAAATCTAAATCATATTTGCATCACAATCTTTTTTTCATTTTTTCTTTCTTTTCTTTCATTCTTTTTTCTACGTATTCTATTGTTATTTTACGCATTCTTTCTTTCTTTCTTTCTTTCTGTCGTTCGTTCGTTTTTTTAAGTCAACTATTCTTTCTTTATCGTATTTTCTTTCTTTTTCATTTCTTTCGAGTATTTGTTTTTTTCTTTTTTCTTTTCTTTGTTTCTTGTAAATTTTCTTTTTTTCTAATTGTCTGCTATTCGTATATTCTTTTTTTCTTTCTCTTTTCTTTCTTTCTTTATTTCTTTCTCTTTTTCTTTCTTTCTTTTTCTCTTTTCTTTCTTTCTTTTTTCTTTCTTTCTTTCTGTCTTTCTTTCTTTCTTTCTTTCTCGTATACTTTCGCCTTTTATTTTCTTTCTCTTTTCTTTCTTTCTTTCTTTCTTTCTTTCTTTTTTTTTTCTTTCTTTTTCTGTTTTCTTTCTTTCTCTTTTCTTTCCTTCTTTCTTTCTTTCTCGTGTACTTTCGCCTTTTATTTTCTTTCTCATTTCTTTCGAGCATTCATTGTTTCTCTTTTATTTTCTTTTTTCTCATAAATTTTCCATCTGTCTGACTTTCGCATTTTCTTTCTTTCTTTTTCATATCTATTCTTTCTTTATCTTTCCATTTTTAATCCTGGAACTTTCTTTTCACAAATTTTGTTTGTTTCTTTTTCATTTAACTTACCGTTCGGCACTTTTCGATGTTTAATCATTTCTAATTTAACCGTTTTTTTTATATTTGATTTTCGTACATTTTTTTTTCCTTTGTTTCTTATTTTTCAGACAATATTTCGACTTTTTCAAAATAAAAAAGTAAGTCAATTTTTCATTATTCTTTTTTATTTGGCGTCAACTAATTAAGTAATAGGTGAAGAGAAATTTTTTTTTAAGCTGAAACTCACAAGATTCCAGTGTATTGAGAAGAAAGATGTTCATATCTTACTGATCTATGGTACTATAAAGACATGCAACACAACATCATTTTCACTCATTTAATCAGTGACTTACATTAAGATCTTTAAGTGCACTGCTATATTAAGTGCAACATTATCAGCCAATTCATGTTTAACCGATAGATAAAAACGGTTTATTGAAATTTCAAGGATTATTTACCCAATAATGGTAACCTCTATCTGCACAGTGAGGATGAAAGCCGGTTCGTTCTGCGCAGATTCAAACAAACGGCAAGTTTTTTTTTATACATTGTCTGGAATTGAGAGATTAAAAATTAATAACCACGTTAGAAGACCTGAGCGGAAACGTCGTGAATTTAACAATAATAACGAGGACAATATTTCGAACTATGTAAATAGTATAAATATCTATCTGCCCGTCTGTATATGCGTGTGTGTGTATTTGGTATGTGAGGTGACACATTTACATATGAAGTCACAAAGACTATAAATAGATACAGCTATTACTCATGAGATAATTAAGTGCGTACTACTTCCTTTGATTTAGTAACACTACACTACAGTATGTATTGTAAAGCTGATTTGACGGATAATCAATTCAGCATTAGCTAAAGAGCTAGTAACTTTAATAATTATGATCGAAAGTTACCACTAAACAATAAGGCATTTGTTTGAAGATCCTGGACGACTTCTATTTTGGTTGTGGAGTTATCTCTGATCTGTGGCACGTAATTACACAGAAATTGTGTATCAAGCCATGAAATTAAAATATTTAGACGTTGCCGAAAGAGAACAATATTGTCAAATAGAACAATATGTCGGATTTTAAATAATGAATCATTTTAAAGACATACGGGTATGCAAAAGACACATAATTCAGCTCTTCTTTTGTGATGTAGATCACGATAAAACCTTTCTTGGAGTTACAGCAATTTGCTTAATATGGCGAAGATTGGAAATCCGATAAAATTCATAAACGTGTTGCCACCTCATTGAGTAACACGTAGTCTAAATTTATTGCATGAACAATATTGCAACGTCTTACAGAAAATATTTCCAAGAATACCTTCAGTTTTATTTAAATGTGAAGAAAGATCAAAGTGACTAGAAATATGAGATACTATCTATCTATCTATCTATCTATCTATCTATCTATCTATCTATCTATCTATCTATCGTTTTCAGAGATGGGGTATTGTAACACATGGCCCAATGGTAATTCAGCGACTTAACCCAAAGAGTTGTGAGTTCAATGCTTGGCCACATGAGAGATGAACAAAAATATAGGACAGTTGAGATACTAAAAGGAAATAACTGAAACTAAGATATACAGAAAAGGCATGGAAGGTGGGACGTGAAAGAGTAGACTAAATAAAGAGTTCGGTTCAAAATTCATAAATAGCTCAAAGTCTGGTCCCTCCTCCCCCAATACTAAGTATGATTGAAAGAAATATTAAAATAAACCCTCTATAAACTCGTCCATGTCTCTCACACCACTCCTTGCTACCCTCTCTGTTAAATTACATAAACTTAATACTACCCGTCAAAAGTGTGAATTTTCATTTCATCTTTCGTTTCATTTTTTGGAAGTGTTATCTGATGATCCAGCGTCCTTTAAAAGGACTCTGGTGAAATAAATTATTATAATGGAACCATAAAGTGGTCTGTTTTACTTTAAAATATTAGCTCTGGATTTACATTGAGCTCTCAGGATTTCATCCTCCTTGGGACTACCATACGTATTACCAAGTTTTTCATAAATATATATATATATATATATATATATATATATATATATATATATATATATATATATTATTATTACATCAGAAATCTTATTAAATGCGTAGGTCAGTAGACGTATGCACCTTGTTTAAAATAAAAAGTAAATTACTCTTTTGGGGTAATTTCCCATTTTCTTATCATCTCTCAGTTGCGTCTCTGTCCTTTGACAAAGTGCACTCAGGGGCTTCTCTGTCAAAGGACAGAGGGGCAACTGAGGAAAATTATACTGAAGAGGTGCCCAGCCCTGGGGAACAGCTGCCCGAGGCCGCGCCCTCCCATTGCGCAAAGGGGGGGATCGATGCTCTCATCGAGCCCAGCGCAACTGACGGTTGCGGGGCTGAGGGGAATTTTGTCCCTTGCCCGAGTGTACGCGCTCGGGTCCCCACATTAAACCGACCTCGTGTCACATCTTGTTCTAGTGGGGGAACGAGTAAATATCTGTTTAAAATAAAAAGGGGGAGTGTATTACAAACACAGGTATCGACTAAAAAACTTTTGAATAAAATTTTTCTGATTAAAAATAAATCCATCAATTCTTTAGATATTCTTATATATATATATATATATATATATATATATATATATATATATATATATATATATATATATGTGTGTGTGTGTGTGTGTGTGTGTGTGTGTGTGTGTGTGTGTATCACTTTAAACGTTGTTATTGGTGGATACTCATATTTCAGTAGACGCTCCGTTTATATCTTAAATAGTATATTTATTTATTTTCACCTACCAGCCTAAAATTTCAAGAAATTTGTTTAGGCCGGTTCGTCTCTGTTGCTTTGACTAAGAAGACAGAAACGGTCAGGTTTTGACATTTCTCCTGTCAATGATTACTGAAAGTTTTCATATCTGCACGCAGTTTCGTATCCAGACGTTAAACAAAGGGAATTCATATGAAGTTTTTTTTTCGTTTTTTTTAATAAGGCGATATCTACGGACATAAATGAATATCTTCAAGCGATGATTGACAAAAGAAATTTTGCTTGAAAGCATGAAATTTGATTCGACTGACCGTCTGTGTCTTTGGGGCCAAGGCGGAATAGACGCAACGGGCTAAACGGTGGCTCGATTCCTGCCAAAGAACGCAAGTTTTGGTTTTAAAAATTCTCGAAATTTCAGTCAGGTTGATGAAAATAAATAAATATATTATTTAATATATCAACGGAGTGCCTAGTCAATTTTCTTCGGGGCAAAGAATTTTATTATAGCTATAAAAAAAGGTTAGACTTATTTTACTTTACATTATTAAAAAGAAAAGTAAAACTAAAACAAACACAGCCGACCAGTTTCGTCATCACAAAGCAGAGCTGGATCGAGGGATTATATATTGCAATGAAAATAAAGCATGAAAACGATATATAATGTTAATGAAGGCGGAATACAATTTAAATTGAAATCACGTTTAATCCTAACAGACATTCCCTGTGTTTACAGAGACGGCTCTGGACCGAAAGTAAATTGTTTCCAACAACTTTATCTGCAATATAGAGCGAGCACGACTCAAGATGGCAAAAGAGTCAATGTTAAAGTTAGCGGCACAATTTTGTTTTTTAATAAGATGATGGAGGAACCGTCTGTTGTTCAGAACGCCATCATGGGAAGTAAAATAAGTCTAAACTCGATTGTTGCCATAATATATATATATATATATGTGTGTGTGTGTGTGTATATAAATACATATACACACACACATATATAATATATATATATACATATATATATATATATATATATATATATATATATATATTCGTAAAATATGCATTAAATAAAATGCATAAAGACCTTACTTACTCAAACATTTCCCAGGTGTTGGTGAGAAACGTTTTGCTCGACCCAATTCCTAAAATTCATTAAAAAACAACTGAAGAATGTTTTTTTGTTTTTTTTTTAATTTTCTTGTTTTCTGGACATAAATTATGTATGACTTATCCGAATCTTTTGTATATCCGATCGCTTTCGGCTCTTTTTTTATATTGGATATACTACAAGATGCCTAACAAGAAGATTCGCCTTACAGCTCTCTGACTATAGCTTAATCAGGTTTCATTTAAATGCACATGGGGACCTACCAAACTCCATCCGCAAAATGATAATACAAATATCATTATCCACATGTAAAATTGGGTAAAAAATAATGGAAGCAATAATAAAAAT